GCGTAGAGCTGTAATTTATGCAGATTTATGTACACATTTCATTTTAAATGGTTTGCAAAGTTAAATCCCTGTCACTTTCATAATGTCACACGTAGCGTTTCTCTCGTAGAATACTGATCTGTTAGAGAAACAAAACGCAAATCTAAATAGATATCTAGATGATAAAATGAATTTCAAATTTGAATCCAAAGTAACCAATCTGGACACATCACTTAACATTAAACTTAAAACCCACTTCAAATTCTCCCTTTATTGAATAACCCTGTTAATCTTTATCTGCCTGCTATGCCTCCCCCCTCACCCTCCCAGCGGTCTTTAAATGGAGATATCAATAATTTATTGTGTAATTTAATAAACTGTGAATAGTAGTAAATAGTTGAACTCGTTTTTAGAATATTTCTATTATCGCTCAATAAAACCTATTGAAAACTAAATCCATTATCTCCACTTAGAGCCGACTAACCTAACGTCCTGCTCGGCTGCTGTGATAACGCTTTGATTCAAGAAGTAGTGAGTTATGGTCTGATAATAATTTAATTACTTGTGGGTTTGGGCAATTCCACAGAGCAATGGTTTTTCCCCTACGTCTCTATTGACTAAAAGTAGCAAACTGATCTTAATAAATTATATAGAAAATAACTTCCTAAATTTACCTTGTGGCCCGAGGTGTGTTCATACATAAACCTGTCCTGAAATAATCTGAAAATTGTGAGGCTCTCGTCTTAATTTGTTCCAAAAACCATCGCAAACCCATAACGAGGGCTTCTGGAAGCAACGTGTAGCATGATCTGTCTGTGTGTCACATTTTCACTCAGTTAAAGTTTATTTAATTTGGTGAGTGTAATTTACCTATATATGCCAAGAGGGATTACATTTGGGATCTATTAGCACTGACGTCAGTCCCGGCCAAATTTATCCAGATTATTCACTAAACTCCAAGATATACTGACGCATAATTCCAATTACTAAATGCAGGCACAGGGTACGCAGTGTAGGGTAAGGGTTAATAGTCGTTTGGTTTAAAAAAACATTCATTCTGAAAATTAAACAAAAAATATATATCAAAAATTTCAATTTGCATTTTATTGGGTTTGTATATGCTGAACGTGACTTTTCCAGTATACATAAAAGCAAAATATACATGAACTTAGGAACATTGACAATATTCAGGGGTGGGAGATATGAAAGCCAGGTGCAGTACATCAGGCTCTAGTATTAGAACTTTTATAGCTGCTGGTGTCGTGTCCCTGGGTAAATGTGGCCAATAGTAAAAGGAGAAGAGAATAAGGGAAAATAAAAGAACCCATGATAAAATAACATGTAGCGTTGGGCTGTGTGTGCAGCTTGACCTGCGTTAAGACATCGGTTCTGGACAAAGGTCTCTTCTACTTGACAGCACTCTTCTTTATTTTATTGGGTCTATGTTTACCGTGGTCTTCATTCTTGTTCAGTTGGGACGAAGTGCAGGCATCCGTCTGCATTGGGTTCGACAGTTCCAAGGTGTTTAGGAAGGCTTTTGAGTCGTCCAATGAGGTTAGCGTGAGGCTCTTTCCCCCCTGTTGACCAGAAGGGTGCCCTCTGTTCCCCAGCGGTATTTGATGGAGCTATCTCTGAGCCTTCTGGCTACTGGTGCCTGCTTCTGTTTTTATGTGAGGACTGCTGTGTGGCCCTCGTGGTGTATTGACCCCAGTGCCCGCAAACAGGTCATGATCGCAGTCCTCACTGCTACGTCTCGGGTTATGGCAATAAGGTGGCTTACATACACGAAACGCAGAGGTGATCTGGGGAGGGTCGAGGCCTCTCTTAATGCCTACAGAGGATAGGAGGTTGTGGACATATTGCAGGAGTACCTCTTCTCCCACCGTCTATGGGACTCCTCTGAGACTTAGATTTTAGTGCATTTCCAGTGTGGTGACCGTGTGGTTCAGCCTTTGCGCCTGAGCGGTAAGGCCTTCAATCTGTCTGTAGGTGTCTTTTGGATTTTTTTTTGTCTCTGGAGGTTTATCTTGCCTCTATCTCCTGCACTTTCCGGGGTCCACCCCTATTTCAGTCTGGACCACCTGGAAGTCCTCTTTCCAAACCTGTCGCAGGCCCGTGAGGAGTTTCTTTATGTCCCCTTTTGTTGATGGGAATGAGTCTTCCTCTGACTCTCATGTGGGAAATGTGTCTCCGGATTGTGGGGAAGTAAGAGCTTCCTCATTCTCTTGCGAGGCCTCGGAGTCGCACTGGGCCTCAGGCGCCATCTCTGGTCGCTGCTGAGATGTTGGCCTCTCAAAAGAAAGCTGTATGTCCGGCAGACGGGGAGCTTCTTGGCGATTATTCTTTTTGTTTTTTCGTCCCATGACTTCTGGATGTGGAGGGGGTAAGTTGTCTGGCTCCAAAAACTGGGATAAATGCGGCTCGTGTCTATTTTGTGTTAGGCCTTTACAGAGCCCAACAGATAGACCTCTGGTCAGTTCCTTTGTTGGCCACGCCTCCCCCCAAATATACATATTTTTAAAATTGATATCTGTATTTTAAATCCTCAAGATGTAGCTTGTATGAGCTCTCCTACCCCCCGACCCCCACCCTTACTTTGTCGTGTTGTTACCACCCTGCATACATTCTCAGGACCGTCACATTGATGGCTTTTTAGCAGTTTTTTTCTTTACTTAAAGAGACACTAAAGTCACCAGAACAACCACAGCTTATTGTATTTGTTCTGGTGAGTAGAATCATTACCTTCAGGTTTTTTGCTGTAAACACTGTCTTTTCAGAAGAAATGCAGTGTTTACATTACAGCCTAGTGATAACTTTACTGGCCACTCCTTAGATGGCTGTTAGAGATCCTTCCTGGGTCATGGCTGCCTAAAATGCATCCAAACATTCAGTATCTCCTCCCTCTGCATGCAGACACTGAACTTTCCTCATAGAGATACATTGAGTCAATTCATCTCTATGAGGAGATGCTGATTGGCCAGGGCTGTGTTTGAATCATGCTGGCTCTGCCCCTGATCTGCCTCTCTGTCAGTCTCAGCCAATCCTATGGGGAAGCATTGTGATTGGATCAGGCTACCACTTCTGATGATGTCAGGAGACTGCATGTTTTTCTGAGGAAAACAGCATGCAATGTTACAGCTTCAGGCTTCAATACAAGTACGATTTTACTATTTTTATGACAGCATGAGGGGGCCAAGGGGGCTAGATGGTGGTTTTAACCCTATAGGGTCAGGAATACATGTTTGTGTTCCTGACCCTATAGTGCTCCTTTAAATAAAACCTTGCAGAACTGCATTTAGCAGGTTTTGCTATAAAAATTTTTATAATAATCTGGTTGCTATATGAATGAAACGCTATACAACGCATAGAATCATTCATAAAATGTATTTATTGGAACGGCAAACATAATTTCTCTTCCTTAATACAGAGGCTGTGGGGAGCGATAGCTACACCTACAATTGGGAATACATGATACAAGTCACTAGGATTCTAAAAGCTTTGTTAGGGTATAGAGGATTCCTAAGAGGGGTGTCATTAAACCCTCAGTGGCCCAGCCATCGGGTCTCTTCTGGAAAATAAACCGCGTCAGCGTTGTCCGGCAACAGAGTTCTTCTGTAGCTAAGATTAGCTAATGGATATACAGTAAAGTGGACAAAATAGCACCCGTTAAAATAAATTAGCAAAGGTTGTCTTTCTACATAATGTATATTTAACACAAACGGCAAAACCACCTATTTACATTCATTCATCTATCTCGGAAATACTGTGTGCCATCTTTTTAATTTGTTGGCTGTCTTGTTACAAATTCTTCCATGTTGCTGGTTATGTAATGACAGCCGCTTCCTTCCATTCACTAAGCAATGATACAGCGAATATAATGGAGGCACCTGCAGGCACGGACCTTCGTGGAATCAAAGGGAGTGGAGTTAAGGCTCAAGTGTCACTTTAATTGTATAATTCTCAATGTGGAGATGTCAACAGTTTTGTAAATTATATAAGAGTTATTGTGATTTTCACTGATGTGGATGGTTCCAATGGCAGCTGGATTGCTGTAAACTATGATTTTTTGAATTCTGATAGATTGATGACTATTATTCAAAGCTATGAAATGTCACTCCCTGAATAATATAACCAGCACTGACACGGACAGAAATACTGTCCCTTTAAACAGAACATACTATATGAGCTCATGCTGGGCAGTACTGTCCCTTTAATGGGTTCCCAGGTTATTTAATGCTATGATTACTTATCCCTACATGAAACAAATGTGTTTGAAGTGTAAAAAATGTAATTCAAAATGTAGAAAACCGCACTCCTTTATCCTACAACTGGACGCCTCCATCTTGGCTGCAAGTCAGTCATTGTCCATCGAGGATTAGAGTACAGACACAGGAGTTTTTACCCATAATTCAGTGGATCTGATGGATATGATGATCAGAGCAATGAATGTTCTATTATTAATTGTAACAAAATATCAGGAAACAACCATTTGTGTGCAACACTGGCATTTCACATTTAGTCAAACCCTGACAATTACAACCTGTTCTTGATTCACGTCTGAGGTGTGGACAAATCTTCATCCTGCGTTGTAGTTTCTTTAAAAATGCAAAACCGAAAACCAATTTTCAAGTCTCTCTGGCACTCCACTGAATCAACATATGTTTTTTGTTTGTTTTCAATGACAACAGCATGTATTTCTGTACATTTAAAAAAAATTATAATAATGTATCGCACAACCAAAAATAAACCAGACCTAACAATTCAGGCTATCTAGAATAATCTGTAGGTCAGGGGAGAAATACACTAAAGCATAAATTCACATTGAAAGAACACGTTGCTCTGTACGCAGAGACCTGCTACTACTTCCCCGTATCCTTATATCCTTCTGGATATCCGATGTCCAAGTTGCCATTTTGCTTTCATTTTTCTGGCTTTCAAATGGTTAAAGGCTTGTTTGCTGCTTATGAGGGTTCAAGGTAAAGGGTGGCAGAGAAAAGTATGTTCCCACCCCATGGCCTGTTTTAAGGCTGTATAGACGCTCTGGAGCTATAGAACTCTGGAATCGGCAAACCAGTATGAAGTGTTACCTAAAACAAAGGAAAATCGAGTGAGTTATAGGGAGACCCATTTCCACCTCCCGCTTCCCAAAAAAAAAAAAATCAATATCCATTTAGTTTCGACTTACCTCCACTGATGCGTTTTGAATTTTAAAAATACTTAAAACTATTTTTTTTTTTATTGCTAAATAAAAAGTGTTAAAGACTAATACATTACTATTTTAGTTTTATAATAAAGTATTGGTATAGATGTGGATGTACCTACTGTAAGCAGCTTACTAAAAAAATGCAATTAAATTATAAAAATAATGTCTGTATTCGGACTTATTGTCCACACACAGTGGGGAAATAAAAACATACTTAGCTCATACCAAGCACAGATACAAACAGGGATTTGCAGGTTGCTAATTCAGCCTGCAAAGAAGCCCTATGTTGTGCTCTCAAACATCCCTCCTCCACTATCCCTGGCTTTTAAACAACACAGGACAAGAAATTTCAAGCCTTGGTTTTAAGAATTTTTTACTTTTTTAAAATTTTTTTATTTAAGGACTGCTTACTTACAAACTTACACCAACGATTTATAGTATTATAGTTAAAAATGTCTTTTTTATTTATATTTATACACTAATCTACAGCTAAATTAGAATTGGTCATTTAAGGATTCAAAATGTTTATACTTGAAATGATTCCATAAACTATTTATTATAAATTTCAATAAACTTGGATTTAAAGAAGTCTGGTGTGCTGCATTTATTGCATAATTTCTAATGGGCTATGCCATTATTGATAAGTAATTGAGCGATGATGATGATTTTAGAGAAGTTGGACCCGCAACCTCTGATTTATAAACTGGATATGAATGCCTTGTAAACAAAAAGTACATTTAACACCATCAAGCTTCATTGAGACTTTGATAATGCATATTTATTTCTAAAGGGTAATGAAGACAAAACACTGCTACTTGTAGAAAAGGGGGTCAGTCATCACAGAAACAGAGCAGTTTCTATGGTGATTTCTCAATTTTTAGAAATATTGAAATGTTATGTGAAATGCGTCAGTACCTGAACATTTCTATTCAAGCTCACGGCAGGAAAGAATAATCCCTCCATGTTTTCAAATGCAACTGGTCCCTGCTGTTCTTCATTGATGGAGAATGTCAAAGTTCTTCTGTTAAAGTCCAGCAGAACCCCAACGGTCGCTCCCTTCGTGATTCCACCTTCAGTTCTGTTAGCAAAAGTCATGTTAAATGTTAATGAAAGGATGTCACATGATTCAGTCAATATCTTATTAGAAGGTCCCCTTCTAAAATTGGTCCTAACACATTAAGGACAGCTGGACAATACTCAATACTGTCACTACAACACTGTGCCAGGCTGTGGGTTCATCATGCACGTTCTTTCAACCCACCCTCTAAATGGGATGAAATCCATTGATGGGTATCGAGCGATGATGGTTTTAGAAAAGTTGGATTTGAAAGATGCAGAATGAAGTCTCAGGCTTCCTACTGACAGAGCCTTTGGATTCTTCCTAGATCGTTGTGTTCCCGGGTGGCAGCTGTCAGAACTGCTTTCACCGATCATTAAAGGAACACTATCACGGAGAAGAAAACATGTTTTTTGTTTGTATTTTTTGATTTCCGTGCAAGAGGTTGTTTTTTTTTTGTTTTTTTTTTTATTAGTGTACTGAGATTTTAAAAAGTACAGTTTTTGTAACTTTATGCTAAATGATTTCAACGTTATTTTTTTTTTTTAAAGTTTGATACTTTATGGCTGAGCTTTTACAGATGTCCATGATCTGTCCGAGACTTTCTACCTCTACACTGGGCGACTCCATCTTAGCTCCACGTCAGTCACTGTCCATCAAGGATTAGCCTAAGTATGTTGTGGCCTGTGGCAAATTCTGAAGAAATGTATTTAATTTGGCATTCTTACGTGAATAATGGAGTTAAGTGTCATGGAACTCAAGCGATTCTAGGGAATGCTACAGTCAAATGATTGTATATTAAATGACAGAATTCTGAAACCACAACAGTAAATAAGGGACAATTAATTGTATACATGATAGTATCCCTTTTAAGAACCTCAATGTGTGCCACGTTCGTGTACAGACAATAATACTCTTAAAACATGAAGGTAATACCTGTTAGTGTGGGAATTGTTATGCATGAACCAGCTGCGGTTATTGTCCACATACATCGCCCAAGCCTTGTCGTCTTTTCCCAGCATGACATCTTTCAACACCTCAATACGGGCCACGCCAAAGGCTGGGTCTGGGTGATTATCATACCGGTCGACGGTCAGCTCCCAGTAGTGAATCCCCTTAGAAAAGCCTGTTTTTCCGAGCACTACCCTGTCATCATAGCTGTTGCATGTGACGGTCAGATTGTCATTGGAGAAGATAATGTCTGAGTGCGCTGAGCTGGGATCAAAGGCGAACCAGGCAACTAAAGAACAGAAATTTTAAATGGTTTTAGATATCAGTGTGACTGTGAAGCAACCAGCCTAGGAAAGACATATAATGCAAACAAGATATTCACTTTAAGCTTGGAGGATGATTAGCCATGCTCATTAGACTTAAAAAGAAATCAGAAAAATAATAAAACGTCAAACGATGCCCCATATATGGCTCAAAATTCCAAACACAAGTTTATTGGCAGAGACCAGAAGAGTGAGGGTTTGTGTAGAGGTGTGCGGCGACTCTATGTAGTTCTACACACCATTTCCCAAATGCATTCCTTAATAGACCACTTCGTTATTCTCTGTTAGACTCTCCAACCAACAGCAACCTCTTCACAAAACCATGAATTGTGGTTAAATGGCAACCGAGTCGAAAGAGATCAGATAAAAAGGGAACATTTTTATTTATTTGTTTTTACCTATAATTTTGACAATGCAATTCACCATTTACAAAACTAACCGCTAGAATTTACAAACTCCGTGTTTGGCATTGTGCTCCTCCCTTTGACAATATGGTAAGACATTTAGGCGTTGCCAGGAACCCGTTGGATACAGTCGATCTTTTCGGACTGTACGTAGAATCTATCCCCAAAGCACGTTGGCAAATAATTTTGAGACGGCGTTAGTATTTCCGCTAGGATTTATTTCAAAATTAAACGGTGCTAAAGCAAGTTATGGCTGATTTTTTTAAATGAATGTTTTGTTCTTTTGTAGCGTTCGATCATATATAATTGATGAAACCGTTTTTTGGTGTATTTGCTTTCAGAATAAGTCTACCCCAGGCCACAACATGTAAATGAAAGTGTCCATCTCTTAAATTTCAGGAGGAAAACATAGGCCATAAATTTCACTACTAAATAGTAAGTTGCAGTTAGGTGTGATGTGAGTTACATAGCAGTCCATGGTTAAACTTGTTTTAGGATTTCCAATCAATGTACTGTTTAACCATTTAAGCTGCCATGCAATGAGTATCAGCCAAACAAACAGCAGTTAATGATCATTTTAATGTATTAATGCTGAGAGCAACACACAAGGCGTTTTAACCATTTCTTTCACATGCATTAAAATCTAAATCTGATCCGTACCTGCCACCAGTTTCTTTATATCAACTGTTAGACATCCAGTGCATAGCGTGGGGGGAAAAACAGTGAATTGGTACGACGGAATAATCCTAAAAAACCTGCCTTCTCTCTAAAATGTAACTTGCTAGGAGTCGGTCTCTCCAAGAAGACCACTTTCAACAGAAAATAAACTATCAAATAGGCATTTTAATGTATCCACGTTTTCTTTTTAAATTCCTGATATAGGCAACATGTAAAGACAGAATAAAAGATTACGAGGAGATAAAGAACTGTAATATTTTATTTCCAATGGTTAGATACCTGATAGGAAAACAGCTACTTGAACTGGAAAAGAGTCAGAAAAAGAGGTTTTATAATTGTATACGTTTTATAATGTCTTGTTTGACATCATATAGCAGTGCAGCCATCAGTCGAGTGTACGAATATTTTTCTGGAAGAGCTTTGGAGCAATCTCTCTATAAATGTATATCAAACTCCAGTGATAAAGGGAAAAATCCACCGTTGGAAAGAAATCCATTTCTTTCCCAATAGAGGGTTCCTTTAATTTACAGGGCGCCCACAGTGGGTACTTCTCTATAAACCAGCAGAAAGTACGTCCTCTCTGCAGTTTTGCTCAATCAAGTGGTGGAATATATCTCCATCGATTTGGCATACTTTGTAGTGCTGCGGCTAACTTCATTTATTTTAATTTTTTTATATTATAGAGCGTAGCCTTGTGAGCCTGCACCTTCACTATCTAATAGCATCCTCCATTACATTGGGATGATGGGTGTGCTGTGCAGGCGATGTTTATAGACACAGTGATACCAATACTCTTCTGAGAGAAGCCCTCACTACCTGAAGAAAGCACTCAAGGAGGGTGAGAAGGGTGCCCTCATGACTGTCTGACAGCCAGGGGTGTTACCCAGAGGGGCTTTAAAATGACGATTTCTCTTGATATAAGGCTGCAGGGACACTATCTCCTAAAGCACTTCAACAAGCTGATTTGCCTAAAGAGACATATTGTAAACACGTATAAAGAACTCTACTAACGATTTAAGGACCTGCAGTCGCCATGGAAACTAGCGGAATGAGTGCTTTCTAATCAGCAGGTTAATTGATTGCATGCTGATTGTGGAAACACTTGGGATTATAGCGGTCTAGGAGTGAGTTAAATATTATCGTATTATCAGATCTCACAGCATTTCAGATAATTCAAAACTACAACTCCCATGATCCTATGCACATCTATTCCATATAATGAATTCTGGGAGTTGTACACAATCACATCTAGGGGGCCAGAGCTTGAGATCCCTCCGGTAAACCAAGAATTAAACATGAAATTACAACTTTTAGTAAAAAAAAGCTGGACCTGAAGAATTTCTGCAATTCAGCTATTTTCCCCACTATTGGTAATTCTCAGTATAGTGAAGATTCCTAATAATCAGATATTCTATATGTATGCAAACACGGACTCTCTACATTCCCATTAGGGTGTGACTTTTTTGAGGAACGGAAATAGATTTTATTTGCACAAGAGATCTTTTCTTGACACGTATAACTGGCGAATACAAATGTGATATCGTTTTGTAAGCTTTCAGTTAACTCGTTAGATTACGGAATTCCGAGCTGGATTGGATTTGTGAAATCCTGACTCATCATACGTTGCATTCTCTCGCAGTAGATACATTCTGCACCCCACGATTACCGATTCTCTGCAAGCTTTAATAATGAACTATAAAAATAATACACACTCTGTCTGTAATGGGTATCACAGGTCTTGCACCAACTCCTTATTTTAAAGATCTGGGGAATTATTACAGAACCAAAATTATCATTCCATCTGACAAATCTATATTCTGTATCTCTCTCCATCGCTTTCTGCTACCATGGAAACGGCTAAGGGTCTAAATTCAGAAGCACATCAGACCGAGAATATCGAGCGTGTCGTCAGTTATCCTGGCAGACTGTCAGAGAGGTCTTTTATATTTGCACTAGGTACACCTTACACAAGAGAGAGGTTAATATTTGTTTCACTTTAAATACTGGTGATCTGGTTAACAGAAATCTATAATAATAACAATAAGGGATAGTAGAATTTATAGGCTGTTTAGGGTCCAATTCACAACCCACATTGATTCAACAGTAGAGATTGCTCCCAGTAAAATACGAGGCTTTGTGCTGCTAAAACAGACCGGCATTGTGAATTTTATATAAAAAGATCATTATGTATCGGTGTCTACTGTAAAATAAAATAATAAAAAGGAAAACCCTTTCTATTAAATCATCTGTTAAATGAGAGTCAGGATCCCAGTGGGAATGCGTTGGGTTCCCTCCGCACACCTGGGACTTCCACAAACATGCACAGGTTGTAATACAGAGTTACAGAACCTCCGGGGAATGTCTGTCTTCTCTAAACTGGATGAGCTATGTTTAGCTCTGTCCTGAATGGCCGATTATTTGACCAAGGCTTTGTCTGTTCAACTTACTCTAAAATGTCATTGTTCTGCTTATTTGGCTCTCGTTTAAAGTATTGTGAGAAAAGGATCAGGTGAAATATCCAATACATTCTCTAGTGAATCCCTTGCACAAGAGTAGGAGACACCACGAGCTGGTAATCTCCTCCCATTCACACTCCAACCATGTTACTGATTTTTTATAACTAACGTGGTATACAAAAGACTCAACGGGCCACGAGCACATTCCTATATCCTAGATTCATCTAGCTAGGATTTAATGGGAAAATGCCAAAGGTTATCCTTACTTCAAATCAGTTATAACCAGAAGGGTCCATAAGCCGCCAGAATGGAATGTATCAATATTCTGTACAGGAAATCCCTAAATAGTGAGATTTCCAGGTGTGAGAGCTGCTTGTCAGATCCCTGCTCTGCGTGAATGCAGACATGTCAGCGAAAGAGTAGAAACATAAACGTGCTGGTGGAGATGGTAATTTAAAGGAACACTATAGTCACCTAAATTACTTTAGCTAAATAAAGCAGTTTTAGTGTATAGATCATTCCCCTGCAATTTCACTGCTCAATTCACTGTCATTTAGGAGTTAAATCACTTTGTTTCTGTTTATGCAGCCCTAGCCACACCTCCCCTGGCTATGATTGACAGAGCCTGCATGAAAAAAACTGGTTTCACTTTCAAACAGATGTAATTTACCTTAAATAATTGTATCTCAATCTCTAAATTGAACTTTAATCACATACAGGAGGCTCTTGCAGGGTCTAGCAAGCTATTAACATAGCAGGGGATAAGAAAATCTTAATTAAACAGAACTTGCAATAAAGAAAGCCTAAATAGGGCTCTCTTTACAGGAAGTGTTTATGGAAGGCTGTGCAAGTCACATGCAGGGAGGTGTGACTACGGTTCATAAACAAAGGGATTTAACTCCTAAATGGCAGAGGATTGAGCAGTGAGGCTGCAGGGGCATGCTCTATACACCAAAACTGCTTCATTAAGCTAAAGTTGTTCAGGTGACTATAGTGTCCCTTTAATGTTTTCCAAATTATTCAATACTGTTCAGTAGAAAGAGGGAAGTGCTCATGCCATTGTACAGGACACTGGTGAGACCTCACTTGGAGTATTGTACGCAGTACTGGAGACCGTATCTCCAGAAGTATATTGATACTTTAGAGAGAGTTCAGAGAAGGGCTACTAAACTGGTTCATGGATTGCGGGATAAAACTTACCAGGAGAGGTTAAAAGTAGGGATCGACCGATATTGATTTTTTAGAGCCGATACCGATACTGATGATCTGTGAACTTTCAGGCCGATAACTTGACGATATTCTGTGCATTTACCATTTTGAAAAAATAAACAATTTCTAAAGGTAAATGCACAAAATATACATACCACATGCAGTGGATGCAGTGTGTTTAGACAGGGGAGCTGTGTGTGTTTGTGTAGTGTGTGTATATAATGAATGCAGTGACTGTGTAGTGTGTATATAATGAATGCAGAGTGTGTGTGTTTGTGTGTGGTGTGTAAAGTGAGTGCAGTGTGTAGTGTGTGTGTACAGCGAACTCAATGTGTGTATAGTGAGTGCAGTGTGTGTGTGTAGTGTGCGTATAGTGAATGCAGTGTGTGTAGTGTGCGTAAAGTGAATGCAGTGTGTTTGTATAGTGTGTGTGTGTATATAATGAATACAGTGTGTAGTGTGTGTATATAATGCAGAGAGTGTGAACACAGCATTATATACACACACTCTGCATTATATACAGTGTGTAGTGTGTGTTCCTGAAGGGATGTGATTTGTGTAAAATGGGGAGGAGAAAGGCACGCTTGCTTGGAGACAATGTATTTTAATGTATCCTATAGGCAGGGATGTATTTACCACAAGGCAAACAAGGCATTTGCCTAGGGCGGAACTTTCGGGGGGGCGCCAAAAAATGCCACCCCAAGCTCCCAGACAAATACATTGTTTGCCTCGTGTTCTGGGGCTGTCCACCTTACTGAGAGTGAGTGTGTGTCAGTGTGTGTATGTCATTTTATGTGTATCTGAGAGTGTGTGCCTGTCAGTGAGTGGGTGTGTCAGTGTGTGTCTGTCAGTGAAAGTGTGTCTCGGTTAAACAGTGTGTGCCAATGACTATATGTGTGTGCCAATGACTGTGTATCTGTCAGTGAGTGTATATCAGTGCATGTATCAATGAGGGCATGTCTGTCAGTCACAAAAATGGCCTTGACACGAATTTGGGGGGGGGGGGGGGAAATTTAGATTTTGGGGGTGCCCGAATTTAGTCGTGCCTAGGGCAGCACAAATCCAAAATACACCACTGCCCATAGGTGTTAGATTACTGGATCCCATGGCTGCCTTTAGGCTGGTACCCAGAGCAGATCGCATCCTTCATCTCACTTTCTATTTTTAATTTACTTCTGTTCACTAATTTGACTTTGTTTCTAGTCATTTATAATGTCTGTACAGGACGTTATCAAAAAACTGTTATTTTTCATTGTATTGAATATCTTTGATTCCGTCGCAAATAACAAATAAAGAAAATAAGTAGTGGCTATGCTTCTTCTCTGATATGGATAATAAGGGTCCTGGAGATTCCCAGCATATAGTGTGAGTTCTACACATCTTTCACTGTCACAGTGCTCTGCTCTGTAAAATGTGAGTGCAGTAGGTACCCACTAACATTATGCTATCCATCGTGCACTGGCATTAACGATGACATGTATATTTTTTGTTGGCATAAGCTTTAGGAATAAAAAGCTGGCAGCATGTCATGTTATATATAAATTGTTCAGCAATGGTTATTTAATATTGATTACCTGAGCTGATTCTATTCTCTGCTATCGGAGCAGCATCATTTATCGCTCACTATTCAAGCTGTCATTTCTGAGCACTGAGTGGCTCTAAAACATGTGAGTAGCCAATTTATATCATATGATTCCTCCATATATAATAAAAGACTGTAACGATCTCCTCCGCTATATGGTATAGTTACATACTCAGTGCCCTCAAACTACAGGTACAGTGAGGGATCTTCTATTACAGAGAGATCTATTCTGGATCTACACCATTGGCACATTAGACTCTAAGGAAGTAAATGGGAAGAAGACAATTTCCTGTTTTTTTACTAAATGGTGGTTAGAATATGTGACAATACCCTTTTATGGTAATCTATCTTGGATTCAGTCTGTCCTTGAATAATTTGTAAGTTTTGATAAAGTTCTAAATGGGGTATTTTACCACTGGAACATGTGTATGATCAGCTACGAATTCTGCTTCACTTTGGTTGGTTTGTATTCTTATTTTTTATGGATTTCTGTATATAATGTGATCTAGGCACAATCTATTTTAGTTTACACCTAACCCTTGTGCTGTCTGCTGTGGAATAAATGGATGAGGTTGAATTTACCTTTGACCCAGACCCATGGGTGCTCTCTCCACGTATCTACACATACAAGAATACAATAAGTAGATCAACTCCCAGTGGTTATAAAGCTATCATACTTGTATAATACCCAGTACATTATATCCCCCAATATTTCTGCTGAGGATGAGGGAATACTTTCAGTCTCTCTCTAAGTCTAGGCACAGCAATATAAACACCAATTTACTATTTTGTCATAAGATTATGTGTTCGCAACACATCTCAAATTTCAAATAAATGTTATTCTCATTTATTTTATAACCAAGAGAAATTGTTACAGACAGGGTTAATAAAGGCTAACTGGGAAGAGTTTGTGAACAATTTATATGTAAAATTCTGTTATGGAATCACGGAGCTAGCAGATATTGCATTCTGCTTTGTCCCGGAGTAACGAGCTTTGAACAAGGCTTTTACCTGGGGAAACACATGATTCCTGTTCTGGGTGTTGAAGGAATTCGAGTGGAGAGGGGATGGAGTTGAGTTGCAGTCGAGCTGCAAGTGTAGTTGACATTCGAGGATAAGGACCTGGGGCAAGGAAAGACATGCATGTAAACACTGTTAGTGTGTCTGTGCAATCCAAATTCACAGCTTGCGAATAACCACGGACAGAGTTAAAGCTACACACGTGTTCATGGATTTTAGGTGATCCAAACAAAAACAAAAAAAAACATATTCAGCCCCTTGTCTCTCTCTTGAGAACACTGTGTCTATGAAATTCTATAAAAAAACTACTTCTGGAAGAAAGTTTACTTGTATGAAAATTAATTTTGAATCTTCTGCAAAATTAAAAAACAAAACAAAAAAAAAACAATACTTCCCAAGACCTCTGGATCTTTTGGGACAGATTGTTCTTGGAACAATAGAAAGCACATCATTTTAATGTTCTCACACTTGTGCAAAGCCATTGCAAGATCTCTTCTGGAGGACGTTTTGCATGGCTTCTCCTGATTGGCGGCTCTGTGAACACGTGAGTGAGGCTGGAATGACCCATTTTCAGTCCCCCTTGCATGTTATCACCTTTCCAGTGGTAAAATACTTGTCATGGGATCATGGGCAAGATCCCTCTACACACTATGCCAATGTTTCGACATGTTAGGACTGTCTCTCAAATACCTTTAAAACGGTTACAAAAAGCTTAGAATTTGTGGACACATCTATTATTACGTCACCTTGAAATAGTAAGCTGTCCGACCAACTTATTAAAGTGAATCTGTCACATTAAGAAACCCTTTACATTCACCAATACAGAAATAAAAGCTGCCGAGATAACTTCTCATATAAAACTGTTCAGTAATACAGAATTTTAATATTAAATCGGAGCCTACCTGGCACAGGACTCATTATTCTCGAGACATCTGTGGCAGACAAGCTAAGTAGCCTCCCTTCTCTCTGGAATGGAATTCTCTCTTCTGTGTCCTGCCCCAGTTCTAGAACCAAGTTAAACATCAACAAATATATATAATAAAACATACATATGTATATACTTTGGTCTTTACGGCAGCACCACTCGCACAATACCGAGAAATTCATGTTCCGGGGTGTTGCCCCCAATTCCCCTTCTTTTTCCTTCATATTGTGTATATAAAACACACATTACAGTCAGCCAATCAGGAAGCAAAAGGAGGATGCAGCTAATTGGAATAGCGGTATACGTACAGGTTATTGAATGTATTCCTTTTTATCCCATTGAGTTAATCATTTTATAGCAGATTTGGGTTTGCCATTAGTAGTATTTTTGGATTTTTTTTGTTGTTCACATAGAACATTTCTTATTCTAGCTGAATTCTAATAGGGTGAAAAGGCTTGCAATCCGTTATAATCTCAATTCTCTCGTTCAACTAGAGGTAAATTTTTCTTCCTCTTTTTTTGGAAGATGCAAAGTTTCTGGCAGCATATTAGAGAAAACCTGTAATATTTACATTGTTACTTTTAAATGTGTCTTAGTTCTGCTTAATATAAAATAATTCTTACAAAAGTAAAAGACCTTTACAGCTGAACAGTTAAACAACAAACATGTAACACAACATATACAGCTTTTGTGATGTATTGATTAACGCAGAGATTTACTGTGGTGACAGATTCACTTTACTACAAAACGCAAAATGGTGACAGAAACACAAACAGCGTCGATACGCCAGAGGACGCACGAATTACCTCAGCCGCTTTTTATTATCCAACACGTACAGTCAGAAAAGTGACCGTGACGCCTCCCTAGAGGGCCCCAGTGGATGCAGTGGGGCCCAATAAGTTCTAAAACTACCAGCCGATTCCATGCGGTGTATAGATAGACGACAGACACTGCCAATATGATGTTCAGACAGCGCCAGATAATTCATAATGTGTTAAGTCAGAAAGCATCCACTCCATTGAAGGCCAGCGGTTCAGTTCTTCTCGAACAATCCAGCTCACAGGATAAAGCAGGATTGGACCCAGGCGGACCCCTGCTGTCGTAGAACTATAGCCCCCAATGATGCATCTCAGCCTATACAGCACAGGCTGAGAGACTCAAATAAAATGTGTGCTTATTAGGACAACTACAGTTCCCATAATTTTCTAATCTATGAATGTTTTATTTGCGCCGTTATCTCAGTCTGACTTTCCAAATACTTTAGAAAACCCAATAGATTATTGCAATGTTTTACCGATGACTACAAATAATGAATGATCACAGCAATGTAAGCACACAAATAAATATAACAACAAAGAGAGATATACACACACACATTACATTCTTACCACTTGTAACGATATAAAACCTGTCAGATTAACCCTATCCCTTCCCTCAGCTATTGCTAGAACTCTGAAGGCAGGCAAAACCTTAGAGAAACTCTGTAGCTTGCCCTTCGCTTAGTCCATGCTCAGGTCTCAATGTTTTTGCTCATTACAGAGAGAACTTATATCATTATCAGACTCATCCCACTGATAATGCATTTCGGTTATTGATTGCCCTTAAGAGATACAGCAACACCAGGCAATCGTTTCGGCCTTCTTTGGGCCTCGTCAGCGAAGTGTAGCTGATACCCCTCTAGGCACAGTGAGCACGGGGTTCACGTCTAGATTACACTTTAAACTTGGGTAGAGTCCAAGCATTGTAACAAAAACAGAGAATATGAGAATGTACTAAAGCTTAGAGATACTCGATAGCTTGCACTTTGGTTAGTCCCCGTTTAGCTCTCCAAATAGTTATTGCTCATATTTCCCATAATGCTCTGTGATACAATGGTTGGGGGGGTCAAGAAAGAAAACCCCCCAGTTTAGGTGCTGCTGTGTGTCCAAGAGAACCTACACAGCATGGCGGTTCTGTAAGGAGACTGAGCAGTATCGGGGCGTCGGCTCCCTTATTCCACGTGCCTGCTGCCTGGGGAAATGACTTGTCAATCTATGTATGTGATGTCGCAGCTTGCGATGTCATATTGCCAAGCCTTGCTTCACTGGGTCCATTTCTGGGCTCCAACTCCTCTTTATCTCTCAACAAGTCCATACTGAGACTAAACACAAAATGGTAACAGACCTAACGCTTTTTATATACAACATCATTAATTCTATTATTGTTGATTAAAAATGTTTGCCAGCGATAACACGTAATAAGTACAGTCACAGTTACAACTGTCTGAAACCAAATAGAGTGACAAATGAAAACACCTATAACAATGTTAAATTAAAAAAAATATGCAATGGTCTAGATTTGTGATGTACATTTTATTGGGATAAGCATTGTGTAATGATTAGTAACAAGGATGGCAAATAATACATTTTGTGATTGAAAATTCAGGAGTAATGAACAGAAAGCTTTGTAAACATCACAAAGAAATGTGAGCAAGTTATAGTGATAAAGTGCATAATCTGTTTTAAAGGACTTTTCGCCATTGTTACCATGTAACTGTGTGTGGAGCCCTGTAAATAATCTCATCGTGCATGTAATAATCTCATTGCGCATGTAATACTCTCACTGTGCATGTCATAATATTATCGTGCATGTAATAATCTCATCGGCATGTAATCTCGTTACGCATGTAATACTCTCACTGTGCATGTAATACTCTCATTGCGCATGTAATACTCTCACTGTGCATGTAATAAACTCAATGTGCATGTAATAATCTCTTTGTGTCTGTAATATACTCATTGTGCATGTCATAATATCATTATGCATGTAATAATCTCATTGCACATGTAATACTCTCATTGCGCATGTCATATTATCGTGCATGTAATAAACTCACAGTGCATGTAATCTCTTTATGTATGTAATACTCTCATCGTGCATGTAATATTCTCATCCTGCATGTAATTATCTTTGTGTATGTAATACTCTCATCGTGCATGTAATATTCTCATCCTGCATGTAATTATCTTTGTGTATGTAATACTCTCATCATGCCTGTAATAATAATAATTTATTTTGCAATTCTAAAGGGACTCTATAGGCACCCAGGCCCCTTCAGCTTACTGGAGTGGTCTGGGAGCAATGTCCCATGCCCCTTAACCGTACGGTGGTTATTATTGCAGTTTCTGAGAAACTCTATACAGCCACTAGAGGGACTTCCGGGTGGTTAGGCCACCAAAATGATGCTGGACTTCCTCACACTGTGCATGAGGACATCCAGCGTCAATCAAATCCCCATAGGAAAGCATATCATATATCATATCGGAGTCTGACCCAGCGCCGAGGGACATCCATGTTGGATTCAGGTGACACAGATGGGCGAGGGAAGGGGGCACTGCAGCTTTGTTTCCTTGGCACTATAGTATCCCTTTAAAGCATCAACCTCTTGAAATGTTCTTTAAATAAAAAAACATATTTAAAACTATATTCCTCACTAATAAACCGACAGTAGATTTACCTGTAAAAACAACTGAAGAATGACCCCTTTTCAGGTGGAGGCAGCGAGCTTCCAATTCATCATAATTCTGACATCCTCACTAACAGTTATCAATAATGACAAACACAGAATAGGTCATGTGCTAAAATCAACCAATCAGAACCTACGATTTCTGGAGTTGAGCTTATTAGTACCTAGTTAGCACTATTTATGTCTTTGCAGTGTAAATATGACCTTTAATGTGCCCTTTTCCTACAATTAAAATAATTTTATATAAAAAATTGTAATTGCCTCTTTACAGACACTATCGAAATATTATATGATAACGCAATTAAAATATCTAATGTCCCTTTACCAAAATCTATGATCTACAAACTTTTTTTTTTTTGGACACAAAATAGTGCAGCATGACGTTTTTCTTTTATAATTATTTTTCTATAATGGTAAAGAGATTCTAGATGTTAATGTAGTCACGTCCTTACCTTCCGAGGTCTGCAGAACCAGAGTCTTACTGTACTGACTGACCCCGGCCTTGTTAAAGGCTTTGACGCGAGCGTTGTACGTGCTGTTGAAATGAAGGCCGTCCACGGTACACATGGTTTCTTTCCCAACAAACACCTCCTGTGGCAGAAAGGAGCTCTATTAGATCTTGGACTGAACGTTGGACATCGATACAATGTATTGATGGGACTGCTTGGGTCTGCCTTATCCAATAGATAATGAGAGTGCAGAAAAAGGAGTGATGATAAAATCATGGACAGGGAGAAGGGAGAAAATTCTTCATCTTGGACCTGATGTTAATGGCACCATTGGCAAAGTACAGATGATGGAGGAGGATGATCAAGAATAGCAAAGCATTTTTTAAATTAATATTATTATTGTTACATTGTGCCCTTAGAGCATCCCTAGACCAACTCGAAAATAATTGGGAACCCAGTTGGTGTTCTGATGATTCCCAAGGCTGGTTTTCACCATATTCATTGATTGAATTGTCCCCTAGACACTTAGCTAGGCTTTCGTTTAGCATTCGTAGACTGGGAAGGATTTAACGTAAATAGCTTTTCGTAGCTTTTCCAGATAAAATAGACATGTTGCAAAGTTCTGACTTTTTATTTGTCTGGTAACAAAAGAGTAAACTAATATTAGGTCCTTAAAGAATGGAAAATATAGATGTGACCAATTTAAAGTAAAAATAAGCAAATTTAACAAAGCCTACATATATACATGTTCTCTAAACGCCGTCTTTTGTTCTCTCTGTGTTTCTTTGGTTTTGTTCTGACTTCCCTGATTTCTGGTTTCCCTGACTATTGGCTATTCCTTACAACTGTGTTTCTTTCTGTGTTCCTGACCTCCGCTAGTATTTCGACTATTCTCTGGTACGTTAAGTCCGGCCATTCTAAGGTCCGGTTAGACGTTACCTTTAGTCCTAGGTGCGATACTATTCTGCATGCTGGATCAACTGTAATCCTGACAGATGGTAAATCCGAGCACTCTAAGCTAATCTAAAGACTAATGATGTCTATAACAGAGCGACCGTAGTAACACATTTACATTGCATTAGTCAGTGTGAGGGATTCACCAGATAATTAAAGTAAAACATACCCCCACACACTTTAAATGCAGCCATAAACCACGATAGACTGTATACGGATTGTGGCTTGGTGCGCATAGTGCTCAGACCGTCTAAAATCCTAGAACAATGGGAAATGTAATCGACAAAATCCTTGGGAGCCAAATCTATCCATCAATTCTGTATACCATGCAGCTAGAACTTAACGTTGGCCAACAGAACACTTATCTGCCTGTTATCGTCTACGGCTATAATCCGCACTTCTAACGGGTACATGGCGGCTCACATGGTGTATAATGTATAATGGGAATTGGAAATTATATTTTAGTTACACACCACATAAATGGTCTCTTACCCTGAACTGTCCACCATTGCCATCGTCCAGCTCCAGAATGTATCCCTCGGCCTGTACCACGGACAGGGGCGGCTGCTTCCACGACAAGGTGGCGCTGTTATTGTGGGTGCAACATTCCTCCATCTGCAGAATTGGGGGTGCTGGTACTAGACAGGGAACTGAATAAAACATAATGTGAGTTCGGGAATGAAGGAACATGTTTCTCCACCACGAAAAAATCCCACTATAAATAACTACTAAACTCTAGGTACAGGACTGCTTCGTTAACATGGTATTGAAACCCTTTAAAAGGGACACTGCCAACAGTTTAGGTTTAAATTTAATTTGCACACCATTAAAAATCAAAAACAAGCAGACAGATCACTTTTTCTTTTTATGTTTTTTTTTTTTTAATATACACTGTTTAAAAAAATAAAGGGAACACTTAAACAACACAACAACACAACTCCAAGTCAATCAGACTTCTGTGAAATCAAACTGTCCACTTAGGAAGCAACACTGAGCGACAATTTCACATGCTGTTGTGCAAATGGGATAGACAACAGGTGGAAATTATAGGCAATTAGCAAGACACCCCCAATAACGGAGTGGTTCTGCAGGTGGTGACCACAGACCACTTCTCCATTCCTATGCTTCCTGGCTGATGTTTTGGTCACTTTTGAATGGTGGTGCTTTCACTCTAGTGGTAGCATGAGACGGAGTCTACAACCCACACAAGTGGCTCAGGTAGTGCAGCTCATTCAGGATGGCACATCAATGCGAGCTGTGGCAAGGTTTGCTGTGTCTGTCAGTGTAGTGTCCAGAGCATGGAGGCGCTACCAGGAGACAGGCCAGTACATCAGGAGACGTGGAAGAGGCCATAGGAGGGCAACAACCCAGCAGCAGGACCGCTACCTCCGCCTTTGTGCAAGGAGGAACAGGAGGAGCACTGCCAGAGCCCTGCAAAATGACCTCCAGCAGGCCACAAATGTGCATGTGTTTGCTCAAACAGTCAGAAACAGACTCCATGAGGGTGGTATGAGGGCCAGACGTCCACAGGTGGGGGTTGTGCTTACAGCCCAAAACCATGTAGGATGTTTGGCATTTGCCAGAGAACACTAAGATTGGCAAATTCGTCAAAGATGAAAGCAGGTTCACACTGAGCACATTTGACAGACGTGACAGAGTATGGAGACGCCGTAGAGAACGTTCTGCTGCCTGCAACATCCTCCAGCATGACCGGTTTGGTAGTGGGTCAGTAATGGTGTGGGGTGGCATTTCTTTGGGGGACGCACAGCCCTCCATGTGCTTGCCAGAGGTAGCCTGACTGCAATTAGGTACTGAGATGAGATCCTCAGACCCGTTGTGAGACCATATGCTGCTGCGGTTGGCCATGGGTTCCTCCTAATGCAAGACAATGCTAGACCTCATGTGCCTGGAGTGTGTCAGCAGTTCCTGCAAGACTAAGGCATTGATGCTATGGACTGGCCCGCCCGTTCCCCAGACCTGAATCCAATTGAGCACATCTGGGACATCATGTCTCACTCCATCCACCAACGTCACGTTGCATCACAAACTGTCCAGGAGTTGGTAGAGGCTTTAGTCCAGGTGTGGGAGGAGATCCCTCAGCAGACCATCCGCCACCTCATCAGGAGCATGCACAGGCGTTGTAGGGAGGTCATACAGGCACATGGAGACCACATACACTACTGAGCCTCATTTTGACTTGTTTTAATGACATTACATCAAAGTTGGATCAGCCTGTAGTGTGTTTTTCCATTTTAACCTCCATGGGTTGAAAATTTTGATTTCCATTTTTTTTACTTTTGTGTGATTTTGTTGTCAGCACATTCAACTATGTAAAGAACAAAGTATTTCAGAAGAATATTTAATCCATTCAGATCTAGGATGTGTTATTTTTTTAAGCAGTGTATATGCACACACACACACACACTTAGTTATTTACAAAACTTGCGAGTAGACCAGTGTTTTTGTTGCTTAGTTAATGTTTTTCATCCATCTTAGAGCGTTTATCATATCCCGTGGCACGTAAAAATAACACATTGAGAGCAATAAAAAAATAAACATTTCTGGAAATGTTTAGATGACACACAGCGGTGTTGGTCCTGTAGGAAGTTCAACACATTTTACATACCATACACTGAGAAAGAGAAGGATTTTAGAACCCAATAGGAACCGTGTTAAGTGGATATTTAACCTTTTAATAAGCGCGACACTAGGGTACTAACCAAGGATGGCAACGCAGGGACTAGGTAACTGATTCAGGCATGTTGTGTTGTGTTCAGCAAAGGTGTGCAAGGGGAAAGAGAGCCCACGATAAATGTCGTTAGTTATACCATGGGCTTTATAGAATAGCTAATGCTTCATCAAAATGGCTTTCTATTCTGGTATACGGGCCAAACACAACGCGATCCGCAGTTTATAAACAGGAGCCGTGCCAGCGATAATTATTATTGATATCAGGGGTGTAACGGGCTTAACTGTATTTTAAGTCAATATTTAAGTAATTTACACACCCCTTCTGTAAATAACTACAAGTCTATTGTTTCTGCTCGTACACTGCAATACTGCGCAGTGTGATGGCGGATTAATGAGCCGCCTCGGATAAATATGCTATATCACATAGGGGATTATTCACTAATTTGGGAATTTGGAAGATTTGAGAAGAATTGCAAATGACAGGTGAAAACATCCAGGCTGGAAAAACAGTATTGGAAATTTTTTGTATTTCCCATAATTTAAATTTTTTGGGTCTAAAATCTCCAACTCCTTTGTCAAATCTCTAATATTTCGCTTTTAGTGAATACGACCCTCTGTATCTGGATATTTACTCAAATGTGAGACCATTGCAGACTCACGCATAGCTTTACACAGAATGGCATAACCTTTCTCAGGTAGAACAAAGAATACAAAGTCGCTGACAGAGAATTCTGGGAGTTGTAGTCCTACATACGCTAGGGAGCGATGTTTCTTATAAAACTTTAGATTTTTCTATTTACCATTAAAAAGTTATAAAGGGTTTGCAGAGACATCCCTTTTTTCTGGTGCTTAAATAAAACCATAAACGGAAAACATATAGCTGGCAGAGATTGATGGGATTTAATTTAAAGGCTGAGATTGATTAGATTTAATGTAAAAGCTGAGATTTATGCCTACTTGTGAATGACATGGCAGAATGTAAGAACAATGTCTGTCCTTGTATAAACTCTCAGCGATGAAGACTGTTACTAGGGAGAGAGTTGGACACAGAATTTGCCGAGATTAAAATCAGCAAATAGTTTATTCTCTGCTGGTATTTACAGTACACCGGTCTCAGGCCCAGCAGCACCCTCTAGCTTCCTATTTGTGATCTGCAAGCTATGTATTACATGTTTCACCCTGGGGATATTGTACAGTAAAACATAATATAAAGGTGGCATCACCCATTGTGAGATTTCTTCGATACGATGGAGATAGGCATCCTATGACATCACTGAGATTCCAATAACCCCATAAAACCCCGCATTCTATGACATCACTGAGATTCCAATAACCCCATAAAACCCTGCATTCTGACATCACTGAGATTCCAATAACCCCATAAAACTCAGCATTCTATGACATCACTGAGATTCCAATAACCCCATAAAACCCAGCATTCTATGACCTAACTGAGATTCCAAAAACCCCATAAAACCCAGCATTCTATGACATCACTGAGATTCCAATAACCCCATAAAACCCTGCATTCTATGACATCACTGAGATTCCAATAATCCCATAAAACTCAGCATTCTATGACATCACTGAGATTCCAATAATCCCATAAAACCGAGCATTCTATGACAGCACCGAGATTCCAATAACCCCATAAAACCCAGCATTCTATTACAGCACTGAGATTCCAATAACCCCATAAAACCCAGCATTTTATGACATCACTGAGATTCCAATAACCCCATTAAACCCTGCATTCTATGACATCACTGAGATTCCAATAATCCCATAAAACCCAGCATTCTATGACATCACTGAGATTCCAATAACCCCATAAAACACCTCATTCTATGACATCACTGAGATTCCAATAACCCCATAAAACCCAGCATTCTATGACATCACTGAGATTACAATAACCCCATAAAACCCAGCATTCTATGACAGCACTGAGATTCCAATAACCCCATAAAACCCAGCATTCTATGACATCACTGAGATTCCAATAACCCCATAAAACCCCGCATTCTATGACATCACTGAGATTCCAATAACCCCATAAAACCCCGCATTCTATGACATCACTGAGATTCCAATAACCCCATAAAACCCAGCATTCTATGACATCACTGAGATTCCAATAACCCCATAAAACCCAGCATTCCATAAGATCACAGGAAAGTTTCTATAGTAAAGATACAAGGGAATTGGGGCACACCCAGAAGCATTTTGCAGGAATGGTGCTGTCGTAGTGACTACAATTTATGTAAAATACAAATTAATGAACAGCGCACACATAAAAATAAAATTTTACATTTTATATGGTTACTTAAAAATCCCCTTTCTAAAAGATTTTCAAAAAAAAAAATCCCACCGATATTAGAGTACTGTGACGTGATTAGTGTAGAACCAACCGATATTGGGGTACTGTGATGTTATTAGTGTAGAACCAACTGATATTGGGGTACTGTGATGTTATTAGTGTAGGACCAACAGATATTGGGGTACTGTGATGTTATTAGTCTAGGACCAACAGATATTGGGGTACTGTGACATAATTAGAGTAGGACCCACCAATATTGGGGTACTGTGATGTAATTAGTGTAGGATCCACAGATATTGGGTTGCTGTAACATAATTAGTGTAGGACCCACTGATATTGGGGTACTGTGATGTAATTAATGTAGGATCCACCAATATTGGGGTACTGTGATGTAATTAGTGTAGGACCCACCGATATTGGGGTACTTTGATGTAATTAGTGTAGGACCCACCAATATTGGGGTACTGTGATGTAATTAGTGTAGGACCCACCAATATTGGGGTACTGTGATGTAATCAGTGTAGGATCCACTGATATTGGGGTACTGTGACATAATTAGTGTAGGACCCACCAATATTGGGGTACTGTGATGTAATTCGTGTAGGACCCACCAATATTGGGGTACTGTGATGTAATTAGTGTAAGACCCACCAATATTTGGGTACTGTGATGTAATAAGTGTAGGATCCACTGATATTGGGGTACTGTGACATAATTAGTGTAGAACCAACAGACATTGGAGTACTGTGACGTAGTGCTGGGCCTAACACAGTATGGCCGTATGGTGGAACTGAATCCCCATATTTGTTTGCTGAGATAGGCGATTTTAAGTAGCCTTATAGAATGTTAAAATGTATTTTTATGTGTGCGCTGTTTCTTAATCTGTATTAAAAAGATTTCTATAAACACATGGAACCCAGCATTCTATGAAATCACTAGAATATTTCTATAATTCCTTGGAACCCAGAAATCTCACTGTGAGATTTTTACAAACTCATGGATCTCAGCATTCTATAATGTCACTAGAAGATTTCTATAATCCCAATGGACAGTGGCATTCTATGATGTCACTGAGATTTGTACACACTCATGGACCCCAGCATTCCATGATGTCACTAGAAGACTAATGGATTTCTACAGATCCAGGTATTCTATGCCACTGAAATATTCCAATAATCCCCAGAGACCCTGGCAAGTCTATGATGTCACAGAATAATTCTATAACCGCATTACCCAGACATTCTATGATGTCACAGAATAATTCTATAACCGCATTACCTGTGCAATTTAAGATGTCACAGAATAATTCTATAACCTTATTACCCAGGATTTTTATGATGTCACAGAATAATTATATAACCTCATTACCCAGACATTCTATGATGTCACAGAATAATTCTATAACCCCATTACCCAGGCATTTTATGATGTCACAAAATAGTTCTATAACCCCTTTACCCTGGCATTCTGTGATGTCACAGAATAGTTCTATAACCCCTTTATCCTGGCATTGTATGATGTCACAGAAGGAATTCTATAATCCCAAGGACCCAGGTATTATTTGATGTCACAGAAGGAGTTCCATAATGCGACAAACCCAGCCATTCTGTGATGTCACCGAGAGATTTTTATAATCCCATATTATTTTTTTCCATACGGACATTGCATTTGATGTCACTGGCTGTCCCGTGGTCTGATAACAAATTATAGGCACGCTCTGGAGGGCTGTAACTGAACCCAAAGGCTTTAGACGTATGAGGTTATTTAAGGATTTCTCTCTAGTCCAGTTTGATATTAAGTACGGTTATTGTATGTGGGCCTCTCGTATCTCTCTGCTGACAGTAACGTTCAGTAAAGCATGAACCAAGCCAGCATCACAAAGGACAGAGATATGGAAAGTAGACAGGACAGTCTTTTCTTAATAACTTTCACGTTCAGTATTTCATTATCCTTGTATACACCATTCTAACTGCAATTTAAGGCAGAACTTCAACATTATAAAATACAACTTAACACCAAGAAGATTTAACTAGTCATTTTAAAAAATAAATAAATGTGCAAATGTAAGCGTGTATTTATGATGCAATGACTCTCTTGTGCTCAGCTTTAATTACATTAAATATTAGCAGTAGAAATAAAACGTGTCTCCGTACAGGACAGATCGAGATGTGATTTCTCCAGACAGCAAGGCTTCGATGCTCGGCCTGCACATTACACTCTAATTAGAAATAATGAAATACAAATTCTTCCAATGCCTTACTGGCAGGAATGCAAGGATCTGTGAGTGACATTATGATTGCACACTCAGAAACATTGCCTACGCAGCAGCCATCACTCACGGTACCCACACAGCTCCCACATATCCCAAACAGCACGTACGCAAAATAATGCCCCCTCTCTTCCAATTTTATCCATTTCACAGACACCATTCCCTTACTGTTCAGATAGAAACTACTGACTGCATCTCATCTTGATACATCTGTCTCTGCCTAGCAACCCGCCACCTCACCTTAACTACAACTCCCATAATTCTCTGCCAAAGATTAGTGAAGTATTACACTGATCAGCCACAGCATTAGCAGGTTCCCCTCTTGCTGCCAAAACAGCTTCAATGCATTGAGACATGGACTCCACAAGACCTCTGATAGTGTCCTGTGGTTTTTGGCACCAAGACATTAGCAGCAGATCCATTAAGTCCTGCATGTTGCAAAGTCAGGCTTCCATGGATCGTGTTTGTAGTTCCAGCACATCCCACAGATGCTCAATCTGATCTGAGGAATTTGGAGGCCGAGGCAACACCTTGAACTCTTTATCCTGTTCCTCAAACCATTCCTGAACAATGTTTGCAGTGTGGCAGGGTACATTATTCTGCTGACAGAGGCCACGGCCATCAGGTAACACCATTGCCATGAAGGGGTGTACGTGGTCTGCAACAATCTCTGGGTAGGTAGTACGTGTCAAAGTAACATCCACATGAATGTCAGGACCCAAGGTTTCCCAGTGCCCAAGGTTTGCCCAGAGCAGAACGCTGCCCCCTTCTGCCGGCCTGATTTCTTCCCACAGTGCATCCTGTTGCCATCTATTCCACAGGTAAACAATGTACTCGCACTTTGGCCATCAGACTAGGCAACCTTCTTCCATTGATCCATGGTGCAATTGATGCTCACGTCCTCTTTGAAGGTGCTTTCAGCAATGAACAGGGGGAACTCTGATTGGTCTGCAGCTACGTAGCGCCATACGCAGCAAACAAATCAATAATCAAAGTAATTCACTTCACCTGTTAGTGGGTTTAATGTTGCGGCTGACCAGTTTATAGAGTTGGTAGTTTGACCACAGTGGTCTATTTGTAGATCTCACAAAGAAAGCAGATGTTAAAGGTAGCACTGAATGGGTACACGTGTTCAGACAGTTATCTTGACGGCCTTATATAAACTATGGGATTTATTTAATAAACTGGAAATTAAGGGGAATACAGGATTTAAACCAAAATATTCACACTGAAAAAAATCTCCAATTCCACACATTATCATGGTTGTTTATTAATGGCAATCATTTTCATTTCATTGTTCATTCATCACATTTCACATTTCAGACAAACCCCTAAAGTCTAGCATTCTGTCTACATACCTACATTACGAACGGTGCTATTTGTACTTACCTTTCATCTGCACAAAATCCAGCTGGTGAATTGACTGGAGGAGAGGCGCGCTGTCGAGATTTAGGTCGAAATCCGTCGTCATTCTCGGAGTAAGCGTTCCCTTTCCCCATTGGTCCTCGGTGAGGTGCACTCGTCGTATAAGGGCGTCTGAAATCTAATGTAAGACAAATCCATGGTAACAGGTTTTACTCTATTTAGATTCATATAGAGATTTTACTATAAGAGGATGAATTCATTGCTGGCAAAGTTACTCGGCGCTTTTCCAAA